TCTCATTCCCATGCGCAGCTGGACAAAGTTGTGTGCAGGATGAGAATGGTGCAAGATGTGTATCGCAAGGCGTCGTCGCGCCAGGTAACTTTTCAATTGTTCGGCAAGCATCAGCCTTTGGCATAAGGATATTTCTTTAAAAAAAGTTAAATTAGCACATTTAACGAATTTTTAGCAACGCATCACTGTAGCAATTATATGTGAATAATTTACGGTGCATTAAGAATATAACACACGCACCGCCATTTGCTGGAAAAGAAGCTTCACCGATACATTTTCTACAGCAACAAAAAATCAAAAATATTAGGGCGTCCCGTCTTTGCCTAAGTTTTTTGATTCTTTTTCGGATTTTTCAAATTGAAACATGTAGGGTCGGCAATAGGCTAGCAAAGCAAGCAAAAAGTAATATGTCGGCCCTCACATGTTTCTTAAATAAGCACACTGTGGCCTTCATGTGAAGAAATTTGGTAAAAATCTATTGATAGAAAAAAAGACGGAATACGTCAAATCATTTTTATAAAAGGGCATCCGCAATTGATGATACTCAATGGTTCACATACTCATATTACTGACTGTACTGGTTGAAGAGGAATTGAAAAGCCTTCAGAGTGGTTGCAAATTCCAAGAATTTAATATATTATCTGCAATATGTTGACTTGTAATGTTTGCTGGATTTTTGAACTCGACAAAATCTTAGATTACAAACATAAAAGAATTATTGTATTTTCATGGTCATCTTTCTTTAAAAAATTTCCCTTGTTGTAATAACGTGTGAGAAAACCGGCTGACAGATTTTTGACCAAAGACTTGTGAAATCTTTTCGACTATATGTTTGTGGGAACCACTTGATGCGGAAATTAGGGAACCCGGAGCATTAGTCTCGTAACTCACACACTTGGGTTGATTGGATTGAAATAATAAGCTTAGAATCAAAATTGTGGTTTGCTGCACGACTTTTGTGAATGCTCGCCAAATAGGGAAAAGAAATTATTTTAAGTTTACAACAAAAAATTGTGGAATAGTTCCATTGCATAAAAACGGAACTTCCGTCTCAGGTCAGTACAATTGTAGAACAGAGAAAAATAAGATAATAATAATTGCCACGTATTTAGTGCGATTAGATACAAAACTTGAATAGGTTTATTTACCCTTAGAAACACTTTATTTGTTTTATAAGGAAAAAAACATTATGTAAATTTTGGATTCAATCTTTGGCACTACGCTAACATCTTTTGAATTACTTTGGTTCATAAAAAGATCTCCAA